TCCCCCCGTCCCTGCCCTCCTCTCCCCATCCCTGCCCCCTTCTCCCCCTCCCTGCCTCTCTCATGGTCTTTATCCAGCGCTCTCTCTGCCTCCTCGTCTCTCTTTCTCTTCTGGTCCGTCTTTCTCTCACCTCCTCCCTCCCTGTCGGTCTGTCTGGCTTTGTTCCTCTCCTCTCCCCTTGTTTCCCTGCCTCTCTCCCCGCATCTCCTTGTCTCCCTGTCTCTATTTCCGCGGGTCCAGTCTCTCCGCGGCTTCCTCTCTACCTGGCTCTCTGCAGACAGCAGCACCGCCTCTCTCCTCTGTCCCCTCCACTCGTCTGCCAGGTCCCCCTTCTCTGTCCTTTCACTAGCTGAGCCCCACCCCCTTTGGGAAATTGGGCTGGGGAGAAATGAAACTGCTTCCCTGGGCTGCAGGGTCAAGTGCTCGGAGTCTAGTTGAGGCTGAAGGGGGCGGCCAGTGGGGACGGGGGGTCAGGAGGAAGCGAATCAGTCTACTTTCTTTCTGTTGCCCCAGATAGTTCTGGGGGCGGTTGGGAGGCCAGAAATAAATGCTCAGATCACCATGCTAAGGATGGGGGCTGCCCCCTGTCCTGCCCCGAGCTCCTGATCGTGGAGTCCCTGTGTCTGCCCTCCTCTGCTCTCTCTGCCTCCTTAATTCTTGGGGCAGGGGAAGAGGGGGTCTCTGCTCTCGGGGCTGCATGTGCCCTGTGCCCTGTGCCAGCCTCTGAGTCTCTCTCTGTGTCAGCTGTCACCATGCCCTGAAGGGCCCTCACTGCCTCCACTCTCCTCCCACGTGGCCGCTCTGAGCCTCAGTCTCCCCCTCCCTGAAATGGGTGCAGCAGTGGGACTCGCAGGCAGCGGCACAGTGGTTGGGGCGTGGGCTCTGGGCCAGGCTGCCTGCCAGCCAGGGACTTCGGGTCAGGGCCTTCCCCTCTATGGCTCCGGTGTGTAGCTGCCAAATGAGGGCCGATACCATGTTGGTAGGACCTGGCAGTGAAACCGGGTCAGGCCCTGTGAACAGCAGCTGAGTTGCGGCTAGAACCTGCTCCTTAGGAAAGACGGCTGCTGCCCCTGCAGGGGTGCTGAGAGGGGTTCAGTGGGAGCCACCCAACCCTGGCACAGGGGCGGCCCAGGCTGTGTGCTCACCCCGGCCCTCCCGACCCCTGCATTGAGAACCACTGTGGCGCCCAGCTCAGGCTGGGGCCTTGGGGGGCCCCTCAGAGAAGCGGCCCCAGGGGCTGGCTCTCTGCCTTTGGCCTTCGCC